CAAACCGACGTCCGTGATTCCGCTACTTTCCAGGGCGATCCGACCTCACGAAGGGGTATTTTATCGAGTTGAATATCCTCATCGTTCACCTCAGGATGTAACCAAGTCTGTTGTAGATTTAAAATACTTACATTCGCACGTTACTTATGCTGCATGGTAGCGCCGAGTTCAGCAATGTTGCCAAGTAACGAGCGTACATTGCTATTGATGATTAGCGGAATTTGCGGTTTATTAATTGGACAGCTTCGGAGTCTAGCTTGCAAGCCAGCACTGTGCATTCTTCCCTTGCCGAAGCGTGATTTACAATTCGTTTGATGGTGTTTCTGACTTTCTAGCCGAATACGTTTTAAAGCGCGCCTTTCGCAGCATCTCTAAACAATTTCAACAAATCGGCTGAGAAGGATAAGCTTGATGAGCTCAGAATGATCCAGCTGAACAAAATGCAGGAAAAGAGACAAAATTGTTAGACCGTAGTAGATATCGTAACAATAGTACTCCGAGGATGAAATAGCAAAAGCTGATTTGAAGGCCCAGCCGGTTATAAATGATCAAATTCGATCAAGTATATCCTGATGTCAAGCTGATGTCAAGCTCAAGCACAGCCCATTTGGTCTAGTTGACATCTGCGCAAAGGAGTTGAGATAGCCTGCCATGAGTTTAGATATAGTGTGGAGAATAACTTTTCCAAGGTATCTTGTGAAGCGTGTTTCTGCCATGTGTATTTACGGCATGGAGAGGATGCCAAGAAAAAAACACGGAATTTTCGGCCGGTAGCACAAACTCCAAAGAAAATGGAGAGAATCAGTGCTTATACCTTAATGCAGTAACTAAAATCCACGAACGTTTCCTTCTGGATGACAACAGATCTCGCAAAAGCGGGTCGGTTATCACTAACATGCTGGTATCTTTGAATGCTGGAAGGAATCTGTGGAAGTTGCTTTATGAGTAGATGCCGCCTACGCTCATTTAACGGTCATGAGCACCGCATTCTACTTCAAACAATTTAGAAATACGGAATGGACATCCCACTTCTGGGATGCCAGATTTATGCTCATCGTTATCTGTGTGTAAGGGTTCGCGCCATACCATCCGACAAAATATAAGTCTAGTGCGACATAACGCAGGGCTCGGTATTCGAGACCCGTTTGTCCTTAATCCTCCAAGAACACTGCGCGTGAATGCGCTCTACAGTATGTCTACTTTTCGCAATTCTGGCCTGCTAACACTGCAGGGGAAAACGCGCAGCCCACAAAATGATCTGGATAAAACGTACACACGGTCTATGGAGGAAATGCTGATATTCAACGATGCCAATTGTAAAGTTCTGAGCATCCTCCATGGCAATACTCACAACAATTGGCCAGATTCAAATCTTGTACGGCAAATATCTAAGGAACAATGAACAGCGATATATAACAGAGAAAAACGACTGTTTAAGAAGTCACGTAGGATAGCCACAGTTTAGCTTATAAGAGGTTTCCTTAAATGTAAAAGGGGAAATACTGGTTTAACTTACTCACCGAGTTATTCAAAGGAACGCAAACTGGTCCACTCACCGCTACATTAAGAAAAGAGCTAGTGAGCACATACTTTTAGTTAATTCGTCTTCCGATGAAAATAGGTTATGCCAGTTAATATAAGTATATATATGGCAGTCCAATACTTTTTAACAAGGCAACAGTTTATATGTGGCAACAAAGTGAGCATGAAGAGCTTTCCAAGGTCTGGATCCCCGAATGGCGAAAACCTTATATCGGCAATGAAAAGACTGCGGTTTCTGGTTAGTTTGAGCTGATGTTCTCTCAGGATGGTATTGTGAATGACTCGGAACAGATCGTGACAGGTGTGGTTGCGGCTAGTCAATAATTGGTGAACTATGCTAATGTCTCCTCGCAGGCGCCGGTAATCACCGTTAGACAAGCCAAGAGCTGACAGCCTGCGTTAATACGAGAGGTTTAACAGTCCCCTAAAGATGTTTGTTTCCCAAAATTGCGAAGGTTAACTAGTATTATCGTGTTTGAGCCATGGTCGTTTGTAGAGGATGGCGCAGTTCACGTAAGGCCACACGAAGTCGTTCAACATCTGTAGAAAGATTTCAGTCGCAAAATCCATAACACCCTTCGTATGAACCTAAGGCACTGGGTGGTCCTTCTCGGTGCTTGTTCGGCCTGCTTCGAGCATTCAAACTCTTTCTGTTCGATGTTACCAAAGTTGATTTTTGCTTAGTAAGTTGCTGCAGCTTCTCTCTCAGCCAATATATATAAGTCCTTAAGTGTACGTTCAGAACTTTGCGTTACGCCAAGTTAAAGTGAAGCCCAGTGATTTCGTGGGTCATTTCGAAGTAAACATTGCGTGCATGGATCGCGACAAGCAATTTTGACGTTTACTGGGATTCCTGTTGAGCCGAACCTTGGTATTTCCATCTTGAGAACCGTAGCTGATGAAGATAGAAATTGGATACAGCCTGTCAGAATCAGTGCATTCAGATGAACACACCAGTTTCTATCTGACGAATTGAAGCCGGTTTCCGCAGTACGATGTTTAGACCATGTCAAGACCCTATTGTGGTGCCGCGTGCTCGTGCATTGTCTGGATGTAATGCCAGACGTCCTCTGCAAAAAGTAATAAGCCAGATTGCAGCAACATAGCAAGATCGTTGAGGAATGATAGGAACAGGCATGTTCTAAATAGCGATCCCATGCGCCCAGTATACTGGACTTCAATCGGGTCGGAGATGAGTCTGCGTACTCTGACATTCAGCTGACTTTGCGTTAGGAAGTTGCCTATCCAAATTAGCAAAGGGTCACCGATCCATAGCTTCGAAGTTTGTGAAGGATAATTCGGAGAACTAAGCCACGGGTTTAGATAAGTCCAAGTATATGACGTCAGCTCTTTGACTGGCATTAACTGACTTCATCCAGCTTGCTCAGGCTAACAACAAGTTTGTGATGCTGGGAAGTTTGCATCGGAATCCTTGCTGCTGTGAAACTATGATGTTGCTCTCAAGGTATCACTTGAGCTCCTTTGCAGTTACACCTTCCATGTATATGGAAAACACCGAGGAGAGCGGCTTAACGGTACTTAGAGGGCTTCGCGCAATTCCTACCCCTACAAATAGGAGTTATTAATGCCAGTTTCCACATAATGGGAGCAAACGTCTCCTAAATGTTTCGTTGAACTAACCCAGCCAATGGTTCGACGAGGTTTCCTTGGTTATGAAGAGCAAGTTCTCGCATGATATGCACTATTTGCACATGTGCGGTCAAGAAAGTGTGCGTTAAGATGGATCGGTTTGTAGGTATATTGATTAGGAGACAGGCTGAAGTACTTTGCAGCGCATAGTGCGCTGCAAATCGACTTGGAGTGGAGCAGGACATCCGTTTTTCAACATTCACCCAGTCAAATACAAACATGGCTTAGTTAAAACTCTCTTCCACCTAGCCAAACTTATCTGCAGCCCCGAAACGTTAAAAGCTGAAGAAGAACTTCTGTGCATGACCTAATTTCTGATGGGTATTCTGTGAAGCTTATTTTGGTACGCACTATTCCTTCCATCAGGAAAACAACAGTGCTGACGGCTGCGAAAATGGGTGCTTGTTTGCTTTTGCCATTCAACGAAGACCATGTGGCAATTGATATCAGACGCAAGCTCCGGTCCGCCCCAACGCGCATCTACACCACCGCCCAGGTGCGAATCGTGCATACCAAGGGAGGACTTGTTCTTCATAACCAACGGACGATCTCGTTGGTTTGCTCAGCCTCACAGAATTTTTATCAACTCACCTTAAGTTGCGGTGACATTTTAAAAGCAGAACTAACGTTTCATTTGCGAGACTAGCGGAAAGTTTTCCAAAGCGCTTGTGACAAGTGGTGACGTTACAAACCGGGACGGATCTAAGGATGAATAAGGGCTTCGCATCGTCTATCACCAAGCACCTCATGGCAACCCGTCATCACGTGAATCCAGAAACCGCGTTGAAAGTGTTAGTGCTCAAAATGCCAGATAGTTTTATCATTTGGTGTGACCTTGCTAACTTGCATCAATCAAGCTGTGCTAGTGTATAAAAACCTTTGAGGTTATCAATACGGTTGTCGTAGTCTTGACTATGACATTGATATGCTGCTTATACTACTGCTTCTTCCATATATATAATCGTTTGTGTTTCTCATCTCAATTTGTTTGCGCGTACGGAAAGCAATTGAAATGTTGCCATATCGCAGCTTAGGCTTTCTCTAGATGGTAATGCCTATTTATTGTATGCGTACGCCTTAGATATGAGTACTTACCGTACTATGTGTTTTGTGCTTGACAGATAGGAGGGAAAGTTTAATTCACTCAAGATGATTGATAACAATTCAGATTCTGCTTGTTTTAATGTAAATTTAAACAAACGCATTGTGTGAGTTTATAATTTTGTATACTTTGGTTATACATTTATACTATAAAGAGAAAATTTTGTCAATAGCTCGTAATTGAAGGATGAAATGTAATTTTTATTGGATTTTACATTGTATGCTAGCGCAACCTACTGTAAATCAATCAAATTGAGTTGGTGAAATTCAGCTGTTGATAGGAATGAATGCTGTTTTTCTCAAACATTTACAACTCACGGTCAAATACTATTAATAACCTTATTCTTTTGACGAAAATGTACTACTGTTTTGGAAAATAGTGGCCTGAATATTTTAGCAAATTGTTGTCGGGGTATACAAGCTATAACTGCATGCATCAGCATTTTGCTATGATTGTTCCTAATAGTACCACATTGCGTAAACGCAACCATTATGTCATAACACACCTACTTATTTTGACATTTGGTGCAAGTTGTAAGCCGGTAATTGTGTTATGGTTTTATTGCAGTAAAAATATTCCCCTAAATCGTAGATCAAAAACACACTTGGTGATCCAATGTTCAAGTTGAATATTTATACCGTAATTAATGCAGTTTATTAGTAATTACTCAAACATTTTGAAAACGAGCCAACACTTTCCTTTTAGGATGTCAGCAGACACTGGGGATTGTAACGTATGTCGCCATGGAAAAATTAACAGATATAACAAATCCAACATTATCGCAAAACTGCTACAAAATGGCGCTCTTTTTCTTGAATCCATTTCCATTCGAGGATGCAGTCGCATTGTCCGCGCTCCAAATATGTTTATCCGCCTGTTGTGGATCTGTTTCCTCGTGTCCACCACCATCTTTCTCATTATCTCCGTTCGTCGGATTGTGATGGAATATCTCTCATATTCCCTCAATATTGAGACAGAAGAGCAAATGGATGCACCAGCTGCATTCCCTGCGGTGACATTTTGTAATCACCAACCCTTTTCGGAACGGGCCTACCAGCTTTGGCGCTCTGAGAGCGTACTTTCACCATCCCAGTTTAATCGGCTCTTACGTGACAGAGCATTCAAGCTGATAAACGAGAGTCGATTGCGCAATCATCCATTTCCAATCAATCAAGTTGCTTATCTGTCCATAGTGTTCGACACAATTAAATTGTACTATCAAAATTTGAATTGGCCCCAGCATAAACTTTTAGGTCATCAAAGGAACGAAACAATATACCTTTGCCTGCTCCGTTTATCAGGCGAACACTTAGTACTTGGCGGTCCAGGTTGTTACGATCCGATGGTACATATAACCGAACGCTCTCATCCATATTTTTTCAACTGCTACACGGTCAATATAGACGCGGAATATTCTAAAGATGTTTCTGAATTGGGCTTAATCATTTGGTTAGGTCCACCAGAAAACTTTGATGTACAGTTTAGACAAGCATTCCTGCTAGATATGTTTGAACAAGCTCACGGCCTTCGAGTGGCTCTCCATGAACCAGGTCACCTGGTCAATTTAGAGCGTTTAGGAATGCAAATCGAACCTGGAAGAATGAATGAAATTAACTTTGAAGTTATTCATAAAAAACTCACGTCTACACCCAGAAAGCCATGTGTGCAAAACGCAAAACAAATTTATTCTGATTTAGACCTGGATTATGACTACCAATTTGAGATATGCTTGGAAGCCAATTTACAAAATATCATAATGCAAGAATGCTCCTGTCTTTATGCCTATCTCCCGAGGATATCATTTCCAAACGCTGAAATTCCCTATTGTGGTCGACTCATTTACGAAGGTGTCCTTGATGATGTTGCATTGTCTCGGAAAATGCAATGTGTACAAAAGGTGGTCAAACGTTTTGCTACGTTACGTAAAGAATTTGAAGCTAAAAAGCTATGCCTTCACCGTTGCGAGAGCGTGGAGTATGATAGCCGGCTGTCAGTTACCACGTGGAGAACTACATACTGGCAGTTGTACTGGAGTCAAGAAACCGCGGTAGCATTGGAACAAATTGATCCTCAGATGCCTTACCCCAATGATCCTTCTCTCGAAAAGCTGTTGAGCTACTTTCAGAACTCGAACTTGTCCGACGTTCCGGTATACCCAGGTGTGCAATCAAACGTCATAAGCAGCAAATATGGATTCAGTGATCGCCACACATATTTGTTGATCAAAAGAAAACGAAATGACACACTTATACGCAAGGAGGGTCTTGTGTTAACTTTGGACGCACTAGTCAGTCGTATCGGAGGACTGTGCTCTCTATATATCGGGATGACTTTTGCAATTTTCATCGAGATTATTGAATTCTTCTATCTCGTCTATGTCAGAAACTTTGGTGACAATCCCAATGCCAACCTGAACTCTCGCAATGAGAATCAATCACAAGCAATTTCAAAAGCGGAATGTTGCAACATGCCACACCATACCGAGCTACCTAATAAGAGAAAGAGGCATAATGGAACCACAAGTGTTAGCTCTGTCTACACTCAAGTTGAAAATAACGCCATTGGACTAACATGAGTTCAATTGTACCATTTCTGTGATTTAATGCTCATTGTAAAATTATTTCTATAACACAGTACTTGAAAGATATTTTCCTACTATTTTTTGCTGTTTATTTTGCTGCGCAACATGTATTCCAGTTGATGCATATATTTCAAGAAATCATTAATTATCTGTACTCTTAAAGCCAACTTTACTCAGGTAATTGAAACATATATGCCGACGAAATTAAGCAACTTACCAGCTTGCAACTGTGATACGCTAATCCGTGGCTTCGATCTTCGGTAGGGCACCGAGGGAATACGCACCACTGACGAGTCCCAATAGGACGAAACGCGTTTGGTGCTTTTCAGGACTAGGCTGTGGTATGTAGCTTGCGACCTATAGGGGGAAAAATGTTCAAGCTACAATAAAAGCCTACCTACTCATTTGTAATAGATGCATTTTTGTCTCTCGACACATGAACGAGAAAAGCAGTTAAGAAACAAGCAATTATAACCCACAAGGGTAGTAGGGGAAGAGAATGGTAAGAGGAAATTCGTCACATCTTGGCTCATTCAGATAGTCGTCACACGCCCATAAAAGAATAGTACGCGCGTTCCATCCTTCCGGGAATCTTCAGCAGTTCGCATTCCCTCGGACCCTGGTAGCGCTCGTACCAGCAATTTGACTCTCGCCAGTCCATGGTTTAGACCAATGACCTGCTGAGCACGGCAAAGGCCATCGTAAATAAGTTACTAGATGTAATATAGCGCTGCTCACTATCCACTGACTTAAACCTAACTGCCCTGCAGAGGACAGGGGGCTACCATTAATATAATTTATAATGCCGTTTAATGCCATTATCATCTAATATAATAATAATGCTATATAATGATGTCATATCATTCCGTAAGTTAACTGGCGGCTTAAGTTTGGTACGCCCGTCGCTTGATAAGGGGACAACCCTGTCATCTGCAAGGCAGTAACTTGTAACACAGTGGATGGTGAGCGGCGCTATATCTGAGCTAGTAACTTATTTACGATAGTCGTTACTGTGCCCGGTAGCTCAGTGGTCTCCAGCACTAACTAGCAACAGTCGAGTAGCGAGTTGGAGCCCTACCAGTTTGCGATAGAATGCGCACTGATGACGATTCCCGAAAAGATGAAACGCGCGTACGGCGCTTTTCCGGGCGTGTGATGGCTGTTTCAATGAGGCTAAATGTGACTTATTTTCACCTATAATATGAGATTGCCGCGATGACAGTTGTAATTTGCATTGGCCACTGGTGAACAGCCGTGGTTTTACGGTGAAGATAATCATCCAATTGGATAAGAATACTCACTGATTCAGGTTCAACTAAGAGCGTGTGTTTATGTCTTCAGATGTACTATTGCCACCTATTACAACGAAACACAGACCCATACTTATTTGGCTATACAAAAAAACTAAGCGTGGCGCAAACTTCAGTGTGTACATGCCAACAAATTAAATGACAGATGTGGCAGTCTGTTTGAAATAAAAGTTTAGTTAGTTATTTATGTAGATGATAGAGTGAATAATTAGACAATGTATTCAGTATACATGATGGGTTGTGATACACGGACAATGGAAAATTTTCAACATGTTTAACAAAACAAAACCATTCGCATACGATCAATGTTAGATGACTGGACTTCATGTTATTTGCTCTCTTACAAAATAGAAAGGTAAAAATGCTATCTTATCAAATAAACTGACAGTTTTCGTTTAGTATGGCGAAAGCATACGGACGAAAGCAGGTGGTCGAACCAGTGCAGATGTTTTGAACCTCGAGTAAGCTTTACGGCTACACTCAGTTGTATTTGCAAACAAAGATCGGGTTGACGCCTTATGTGGGCCACGGCGTCATCACATTTAAGTATATGCCATTTTTGTTTTGAAAGAGACCCCTGACCGTTTTGTCGGATCAACCTGTTTACATGCCCCGGTTAAATTTTAAAGATATATCATGCCGGTGGCCTTCTGGCTGTTTGTTGTTTCCATGCTGGTGCGCTGCTATGTTAGAAATGCGCTTCGGAAAATGCTCTAAATCCAATTAACCCAACCAAGGTTTGTTCTACTAAGTAAGGGTGCGGCAGTTAAAACTAATAGACAAATTCAATGGGTTGAGCAAGCATGACTACAGGCATCGAAGGCTTTCCTGTTGTCCAAATAGGACAGTTCGGCGCACTTGAATATACGGACTGGTTCACCTGTCCAATGATTAAAGTGCTTTTTTTGAAAACCATACGATAAACATTCTTCGGACGATAAGGGTAACATGAATAATGGATGCAACTTCATCGGTCGTTTTACATGTTTAACAAGCGATTATTGGTGATGTTATCACTACATTACATCCCAGTTAGCAACAGTGACCGATAGGAGAACGATAGAGGATCTAAAAAGCGTCTAGGTGTAAAACTTTCCGCAAAATATCAGTCAGTCGGAAAACTTTAAGCAGCATGACCTCGCTCGCCCATATAATGTTTCGAAAATTTCCCCCTGCGTTAATGTACCACAATTCTTTCTTTCCTGGCTAAATCCCGACATGCTTGGAGAAATACACTACTCACTTTTCGACAAACTGTCACACAGGAACAAAATTGGCAACCCAACCCCGCTCGCTCTACTATGTATACCAAAAACGCCCCTAATTTGACGCATTGCCGTCCGTGTTCCAATGCAAGATGAGGAAACGCTTGGCGAGAAAATGTACTCATTTGTGTTGAAAATATAGCTTTTCAACATATATATAGGAATAATAAAGTAATTTCTTTTTTCTACACACCACCACTGCGTGTACGTTTCTCGGATCCATTGCTGAACTCCTTGCTACCGGCAAAACTCGTAGGCGAAATAGAAACTGTTGTTGCAATTACCATAAATGCATAAAGCTTACTGAAAACCACGCGGTAAAGAACATAACATGTGGGCGATATTTTTCCTTCACACATCGCCTGTACAGTATCACAACCAGGCAGTTGGAGAGGTAGGCCACCGTGTGATTCTGAGGGCAAATTCCACAACATTTTAACTGCCAATCGGGGCTATAAACGCCACCTGACGCATATAGTACAACAAATGACCTACCATTTTTGGCCAGAAGAAGAATTTTCAACCGGATTGTTGAGAAGCACCATAGCCATCCCAGTCTAGATATAACAGAAATGATCAGCTTCGCTGGTTATCTACAGCTGTTATTATGAAATGTGCTAAAGATATTGGCTAGTAACATTCAATCAAGACAAGGAGTTTTAAGGCTAGTGTTTCTCGCTGAAAGTAAAACAGAGCCTATGAACGATCTACTGGTTAAAAGGAAATGACAAAATTTTTCATGTGGTTCAGGATGGTTAGTCTGTGCTTCGGGGACAGATACGACTTCGTACATCTATCAATTATTGGTACGACTCTGCAAAAATTGCAATCTCCGTTAGTCAAGTTCAAATGTGAAGCGAACAGTAAATCATTCTTAAGTGCGTCCTATAAGCTTGAGACTGAGACTGTATTTAAGAGCAAGTAGAAAGGTTTCTGTACAACTCTATGGAATTACGAAAAATCAAAATTTACTTGTGAATTATCAGCAGTTGTGTCTGGTCCGTTAATCGTTTATCCTTGTTCGGTTAGAAATTTGTACTAGCTTCATTTTTTCCGGATATACAATGTCTTCTTTTGGCACTGTATGTGCATCGTTTCACAAAAGCACAGGTTTCCAAAATAATCGTCGATACGGGTTTTAAACCACTTCACAGAATCGGCCTCTGTTAATCCTTCTGGTAGTGTATTCCATAAGTTTACGATTCTTCGTTCGATACAAAGCTGATGTGATACTTTGTTCATACTGGGGACCCTGAGTTTGTAACGATGTCCTCGGGTGTTACAGGGTGCTCGCAGGTGAAATATTGGCCGTAGTATGGGGAATTGATACAAGTGTAGTACTCGATGGGTCATAATAAGATCAATTCTTACTCGGCGATAGGATAGTGTGTAGAGTCCGAGCTTTTCACAACGTTTTTCATATGGAAGCTTTCGTAGACTTGGTATCATTCTAGTTGCGATGTGCTGTATTTTCTCCAATTTTTCAGTTTCCCATTGAGTTATCGGATGGTAAGCTGGGGCACCGTATTCAAGGATTGGTCTAATGAGCGAGGTGAATAGACGAGGGACGGTTTCTTCGGACCATGTGGAGAAACTGCGTCATAATGCCCAGAGCATACGAAGTCCCGCACGGTACAATTTCTCTGTATTTTCTAGTGATCTTAAATCATGTCGTGAGAGAACTCCTAAGTCTCTGACAGATGTGCTGGGATGGAGCAACTGGAAGTCCAAGGTGTATGATCGAGTGGCTGGACGTCTGGTGATACTGATGAACTCCGACTTGCTTGCGTTAAGAGGGAGTTGCATTTCAGTGGACCACGTTGACAGTCGCTCTAAGTCATGCTGGAGGCGAGCGCAGTCGTCCTGGTTTTCAATGATCCTCCAGATTTTCAAATCAGCTGCAAACAGGACACATGGTGACTGGAGCTGCTGCGGAAGATCGTTGATATGAATAAGAAATAATGCTGGCCCAAGTACAGTTCCTTGAGGCACGCCACAGGTCGATAGGAACCATTCTCTCAGATAGTCATTGACCTGTACTCTAAACCTTCGTCCCACAATAAACTCTTGTATCCACTGAAGTAACGTGCCACCGATTCCGTATGTCCTCAGTTTACGAATGAGTACCTCGTGGTTCACTCTATCAAACGCCTTACTAAAGTCGATGTACACCACGTCAACATCCTTCTGTTCATTGAGAGCTCGAACCCACTGGTGGTTTGCGTACATCAAGTTGGTGATGCAGGATTGCCATTTCGTAAAGCCGTGTTGCGCTGGCGTCAATACGTCCATCGATTCGAAGAACGATAGCAGACAATTTTTCACAACCTTCTCGAGAACTTTGGATAATACCGAAGTCAAACAGATCGGTCTATAGTTCTCTATTTTACTCGGATCACCACCCTTGGGAAGCGGTTTA